CTTCTTGAAAACTTGAGCTCATCTTCCTCTCCACCCCTTAGTGACTTTGGCATCCGTGTGCGTGGCCCTTGTATCTTTTTCATCCATTCTTATAGTTACGCCCTAAAAACTACTATCAGTAATAACACAATACTGACTTCAAGCATCCCACTCGCTGACCACTGCCTCTTATCTCTACAGTTCACAGGCTCTAGTTCTTTCATTGCTAATTTTCAACCTTCTTTAGGCCTCCAATGCCCTGACTTTTCATTCTGTCACTATTCACCCACTCTCCTACCTTTACCTCTTGTCTTCACTTCCCACTATGTTCAGAGAAAGTTCCACAGACCTTGCTCCCTTGAGAAGAATCTTATCTTGCTGATGTATTCACCTGTCAAAAATCTAACTTTGGTTAAAGCCAACTATCTGCCTTTCCCAGTGGGGAAAAAGACATAAAATTATGCTGACTGGTTTCTCTCTAAATTTGTTATCATAAGCTTCAAGTGGGCATTCCAATCTCCCCAGAAATCCTACGCCAATCCTTGAGAATGTGCCAATTACTTTTCAAGATGATTATTTCCCAACTTCTTTCTCCTTGAGCCTCTCACTCTCTACCCTGAATCTCCACACACTCATCTATTTACCACCAACTCTATAAACCTCACAGTACCTGCATTGTATCCCTGCCTTACACCCTGTTATCTTGGGATAAAGGTCCCTCCTCCTATCAAAGCCCAGTTCCTCCACTTGTGCTACATTCTGACCCTCTTCATCTTTTGAAGAACTTTGTTCCTACTCTCATTCCTTTTCTCTCTTGCATCAATTTTCCTCCATGGGCATTGTCAACATCAAATGAATATTTCTAATAGTTCCCATCTTGAAGTAAGTTTCCTCAATTTCAAATTCTCCATTTCCCATCCAATTTCTCCATTCCCTTTCAAAGAAAAACTTGAACTGTCCACAGACACTGCGTTTCTTCATCTCCCATTCTCTCTTCTGCCCATTTCCAACTGCCTTCTGTAACCACCATTTCATGGAAATGCTGTTCTTGCTTAGATCCTCAGCGACTAATTTAAGTCATGTGATCCCAACTATGAACAGCATGTGATATAGCTGACTGCACTCCCATTCTTGAATCATTCTCTTCTCCTGGTTTTTGTGGATACCACTCTTTTCTGATTTTCCTTCTATCTCCCTGGCTTTCCCTTCTCTATCTTTCTTGCTGGCTAAAGCCCCTTTATTAGACCTCTAAATGTTAATGACCCCATATTCTTCTCAATCCTGAGCTGCCCAATACCGTAGCCACTAGCCACATGTGTCTATTTAAATTTAAAATAATTTAAGTAAAATTAAGATTCAGTTCCTCAGTTGCACCAGCCACATTTCAAGTGTTCAACAGGCACATGTAGATAGGAAACAACGTGGACATAAAACCTTTCCATCATTGCAGAAAGTTCTATTGCACAAGACTGACCTAAACTCCCTCCCTAGGTGATCACACCCAGTCTCATGGCTTTCAGTACCATGTATATGCTGACTTCTAAATTTAAACCTCTAGCTCTGACCCAAGCTTCAGATTTGTACATGAAACTACCCATTTGACATAACCACTTGTATGTCTAACAGGCTATTCAAGCCAACATCCAAAACAGAACACTTTATTTTCATATCCTCCCCTTTGTCTACCCACAAAAGCTTGTTTCTCTTCCTGTCCATCTATTCTTAGCAAATGACACCATCCAACCACATTTGAAGTCAAAACTCTAGGAGCCACCTTGATCTCCAATATCTAATCCAACAATGAGTCTTAATGACTCTATAAAATATATCTCAAATCTACCCTCTTCTACCTCCAGTATCATCTTTCTAGTCTAAGTTTCTCATCTGGGTTATTGTTCTATTTATACGAAATCCACTGTACCTAAATCTAGCACATAGCACGTGCTCATTAAATATTGATAAATTAACAAGTACAATCCTACTTAACAGCACAAAATAATCTTAACATTTTTAATATTCATGAATAATAGAGATTTTCCATAGAAGCTTTAGAAAAATAGATTTAAAAGGATAATAAAAATCACTTCCCAGATAGAACTTTACTTACAATTAGTTATGGCTCAATAGCATTACTCATTGCCAATTTTTTTTTAAGATTTTATTTATTTATTCATGAGAGACACAGAGAGAGAGGGGCAGAGACAGGCAGAGGGAGAAGCAGGCTCCATGCAGGGACTCAGTGTGGGACTCGATCCCGGGATCACGCCCTGAGCTAAAGGCAGACGCTCAACTGCTGAGCCACCCAGGCGTCCCACTCATTGCCAATTACTAATATTTTTCGTGCTTTCACAGCACTATAATTTACTTCTATGCATCTGTAATCTGCATTGGTGGTGCAACTTACTCCTCACGAGGAATTTTAGTTGCTGCTTGCCACTCAGCCTTGCTTTTCCTGATTAATCCAGTACAGCTTCTTGACCTCTTGATTATCTACACATTTCATGCCTGTCACAGCCCAGCGATCACTGATTTCGTTCAGGAGTTCCCAAGTTTGTTCCTGTCCCTGCCTGCCACCTACCTCCTCTCTGAACTCAACTTGTCAGGAACACTGAGTATTTTGACCCGAGCCTTAATTCAAAATAATCAATAATTCTAAACAATGTCTGCTACTCCTCCCTTTTTGATTCACTGCATTTACTGGCAGCCTCTAAAAGCTTGATCATCCTCATTCATTCCAGCTGCATGCCAATGTGGTCAAGCTGGTTATTTCCTACAGATACAGGTAATTATAGAATTGAGGCGATGGGGTAAAGGAGAATGCAAGGGTGTCTTCTGAGACCTGCAGTCTAGTAATTATTAATATGCCTGACATCTGCATTACCTGTGTTGGGTTACAAAGCCATCTGGGACACAACATTTTCACAGCAATCCAAACGCTATTATTTGCCTAACCAACAATCATCTCTCCTTTACCCTCCTCCAACTTCCTTCTCTCCAAGAGACCATTGTGTTCAGTACCCACCCTCCAACCAACAGCCGGATACAACAGGTATGTTGTACGCCATGCTCCACCCTACCCAAGCCAGCTTTGAGGTCTCATCCCTTTTATGAATAAGCAAGTGACATAAATATGGCCAGAGAGCATGAAAGAAAGTTGGCTGTAAGGGGTTCAGGCAAAAGTTTCCTCACCCCTTAAAAAAAAAAAAAAAAAAAAAAAAAAAAGACCCAATGACAAGATAATGTCCTTTTTTTGGCTCTGGAGATTTCCCCCATCTGCATGTAATTTCTGACACGCTAACATCTTCTTTGAAGTATAAGGGGCGAGCCTTACGTTGAAGACATTGCTGGGAATGGCAGAGTGGGCAGATGAAAGAAAACTACAACCTTTGTAATATACTTAAGTTGTTTTTTATACTGTGCCAGAGGCTCTGGACTTTGAATTACGTATTTATAAGCCCAGGGGATTCTGATTCCATTAAAATTTGAGGCACTGACTTCTAAGCCCACAACTATAAACCTTCTCCACCACTTCCTAGCTAAGAAATCCTAGGCAAATCATTGAACTTTTATAGAATCCGCGTCTTTATCCTTAAAGAGGGAAATAATATTCACCGTTTGGCCTCATTGTGAGGGTGTAGGGTTAAGAGGATTTGATTGGAAGACTGAATATGGGAAGCGCTGTGAAAATGACGCTACCAAGTCCCTAAATGTTTCTCAGACTTGCCTGCTGATAGAAATTGATACACTGCTTGGATGACCTGATCCCAGGCCTCTCCTGAGGGACTGCATTTTAAAAGACACATTCTAGGGGTCCCTGGGTGGCGCAGCGGTTTGAGCGCCTGCCTTTGGCCCAGGGCGCGATCCTGGAGATCCGGGATCGAATCCCACGTCGGGCTCCCGGTGCATGGAGCCTGCTTCTCCCTCTGCCTGTGTCTCTGCCTCTCTCTCTCTATGACTATCGTAAATAAATTTAAAAAATCGAAAAAAAAAAAAAAAGACACATTCTAGGCTCCAGGGAAGTGATGTGGTCATCAAGCAAGTCTGGAGCAAAGGAATACGCGATGTAATACTCCTATGCGGAGTTAGCATTTCTGGTTTCTGAATCTCCATCTGCCACTATTTCCCTTGAGCAAGCGGTTTCATCTTTCGGGACCTGTTCGTTCATCTGTATACTTGCCCGGTCTAACCTGTAGTGTGTACGGGACTGACGACAAATTACACTTGGGGTGAGGGGGCTTCTGTAATCTCAGGTATTTTTATATTGCTGCAATGCGGATCAAACGGGCCACAAAAGATTAGCAAAACCGGGACTGGCGGAGGTGCTGGCTTCGTGGTAAAATTAACTATTAACTGTAGGCGCTGCCTTCTCTCTCCTGCTACCTTGAGTCACTGAGCTTCCGCTCCTCTCAGGATCAGGGCATAGCTGGAGGTGATCGCTCTCGGCCACTCGGATCACAAAGATCTGTGACAATGCCTAGAAAAGTCAAAAACACGAGTGTCGGGAAAGAGACTGAGATGGGGGCCTTACATTCAATTTTTTCGTACTCAAGTAGCTTTTACTGGCAAGCGCAGTCTGCACGTGCAACAGAAACACTTCCTCCGGCATTTAAAAAGGAGGAAGGGGAAGGAAGGGTAGGGAAAGGGGGGAGGGGAGGGGAGAGGGAGGAGGAGGAGAGAGGGGAAGGAAGGGAAGGGGAGGGGAGGGAGGAAGGAGGGAAAGAAAGAGGGTTGGAAGAACGAAAACAGGCGGCGTAGGCTCTCGGCCTCAGGTGCAATTCCGAGTCAGCGGCGCCGGACACCTCCGACTTGGGAGCTCCGGAGCCCCTGGGGCGCACAGGTGGCCTGACCTCGTCACGGCTGGAAATCACACTCGTCTGGCGCAGAAGCTGCCGAACTTCAGTCCGAGCGCGGGAGCAGCCGCGCGGCACTTCCGCCCGCCGCCCCAGCTCCTCCCGGCGCCGGCAAGCCCCGCCCCCGCCCCGCCCCGCCCCGGGTGCGTCTCCGCGGCGCCCGTACTTCTTGAACTTTGACCGCGGCTGAGGGTGGTGCGCATGCGCCCTGTCTCCGCATGGCGAGCGTCCTTGTCCTGGCGGCGGCGGGAGCTGCGGGGGCCGCGCTGCTGGCGCTGCGGCTGTGGGTAGTGCTCCGTTGTCGCGCCCCCGGGCCGCGTCGGTCTCTCAGTCTCTTGGTGGTGGCTGGGTCCGGTAAGTATTGGGGCGTGACCGTCGAGCCTGGGTCGCTCACTACAAACCCCAGAGTACACCGCGGCGCTCTCTTCTAGTCTCCTTAGCCGTTTTCGGAGCGTTGCCTGCTGGGATTTGTAGTTTCCCCCCGTTATTACCGGACCCGGTCCGCGCGGCCGGTGCAAAAGGCTGGTTTGCCGACGCGGCCCAGGCATCTTTTAATGACAAATGAGTGACTTACGCTGGTCTGTAATTAAGCTTCCACGTGGCCTGTATCCTTCTGACAAATCATCATTGAACAGAAAGGACGCAGAAGCCTCATGACGCTAACGTGCAACCTTCCGGAGTAAAAAATTGCTGCTTTGCCTTATTAATCGAGGCATTTTTGTCTTTAGTGTAGGGATCACCAATACTACATGGCAAGTGAGGCAAAGTGAATTGTCACATTCATAAAATACACAAATCCATGAGGATAGAGACAACATAGAAAATACACATTTCAGAATATGGTGTCAGACTGTGAACAACAAGCTGCTGTCAGGTAATACAATTTAACAGTGTTTAGATTTAACAATTTAATTTTACCAAGTCGGCAGGCCCTCACAATTTTAAATGGGGCAAGTTCTGACAGAGACAGATAAATTGTGTGCATTTAGAGATGCTAGGAGACTGTATCCACTTAGAATAGTGTTTATAGTATGAGCAAGTGTTCTAAACTTATGTTCAAGTATAATTCATTATTTTCATTCACTTAACGTATATTGAGCTACAGGAGAGGCCAGGCACTATATGCTAAGCTCTGGAGACAGCAAAGCGGACTAATGCTACTACTTGTCACAGAGTGGAGACGAGGTACTGAAGCCATGTGAAAGGTACAAGGATATCACAGTGAATGACATGGAGGTCGTGGAAAAACTATCAGAAAACAACGAAAATAGAAAACAAAACAAAACAGGTATTCAGCTATAACCTGGGGAGTACAGACTGCTATGGAAGTCTCCTGGAAGGGCACCATTTTCTCTGAACCTGCAAAGTGCTGTCTAAACTGGGACTTGAAAGATGACCAGGAAGCAACCAAGGAAGAGGGTCAACCAAAGAAAGGGGGACCTGGGGCTCTGAGGACTGGGAGGGTGTGAAGAGAAGTTGATAGCACTTGGAATGGTCAGAGGTGCGAGGGCACTCACTGTTGCTTGGAGTTCCATACGGAGCCCTAAGCCCAGTCCAGATCCCAAAGGGCGCTGTAAACCGTCCTCTCTAAAGCTATCAGCACCACTCCACTGCTTCACATCACCTAGGGGCTAGGACCCTATGCTCTAGCTTGACGTAATCCTGGAATTGAATCACATCTCTGCCCCTTACTAACTTGATCTTGGACAAATTAGTTAACCTCACTGAGCTTCCTGTTCCCACCTTAAAAAATATGAGATGAGGGCAGCCCGGGTGGCTCAGCGGTTTAGGGTTTGGCGCCTGCTCTCGGCCCTGGGCATGATCCTGGAGACCCGGACTGAGTCCCACGTCAGGCTCCCTGCATGGAGCCTGCTTCTCCCTCTGCCTGTGTCTCATGAATAAATAAATAAAATCTTTTAAAAAATATATGAGATGAAAGGAGGTGATGAGAGATTAAATGTGGTGGTATTAAAAGTGTATAGCAAATGCCTGACATATAATAAGCATTTAATAAATGGTGACTGTTGTTAATCCTGGTAGCAAAGGGTCTTTTAAAATACTTTTGAGTGGAGAGTGACCCAGTTAAATCTAAGCTTTTACAAAGGTCATTCAGCTTGCATTGTCACAATGTTTTGACAAAGACTGAGGTAGGGAGACTTCTGGTTTGAAAGTGGGAGGTGAAGGAAGGAAAGGCTCAAGAGTGATGTCCAGGTTTCTATCTTGAACGAATGGATGAATGGATGTTAGAGCCATTCACTTGACAGTATTAGATTTGGTGGACTGGGAACCAGAATTAAAATTGAGAATTAGTCTGGCAAGTGGTGCCTTTGTCATTCACACCATTCAAGGTAGGGGGAGGTCAAGGACCTCAAAGAATCATCCAAGTCAAAGAAAGACTTGTGATCAGACAAATAATAATAGTTCATGCCCAGAATTTTGGAGGAGGGGGAAGGCATTTTCAGTGTTTACCTTGAATACCAAAAAATGTCTAGTCTTTTAGATTTCCATAAAATATTATTAACCACATATATTCAAAGAATATCAATAAAAATAACTACTTTTCTTTGAAATCCTGTATGATTTCCTTAGGCAGATTTTAGATTTCATACCAAATGCTCATCTACCCGTGCATTCAATAATAGGAGTGCCTACTATTTTCAAGCCACTGGAGATCAGCAGTAACAAAATGAACAGAAGTCCCTGCCATCATCGTGCTTATCTTCTAGTGGAACAAGGGTTAGAGGAGACAAAAACAAAAGAAATAAATAGACTGTATATTAAATTAAATGGTGATAAATACTATGAGGTAAGGAAAGGAGGTTGCATTTTAGACGGAAGTGTAAGGGAAAGTCTCCTCAGGGAGATGACAGCTATCAAACACAAGGAGGCCAGAGCGGCTCGAGTAGACATAAGCCAGGTCCATGAGGTTAAAAAGTAAGGGGTCAAATTATGAGATGCCTCTTATTGAATGTGAGAATGGAATCCCCTGGAGGGTTTTGAGCAGAGGTAAATAATTTGATCAACTCTCCCTAAAGGATCACACTGTATACTGTATTGAGAGGATAGACTGATACCTTGAATAGACCGGTGGAGCTAGGAGAGCAGACCAGGAAATTGTGGTCATAATTGATGTGAGGATGATGTGGCCTGGTGCAGGGTAGAAGCCAAGGAGATGATGAGAAGGGATTGGATTCTGAATATATTTTAAGATAGGGTAGACCTGAGAAGATTTTGTTCCCAAAGAATATATCTTAATAAAAGAGTAAAATGGAAGATAAAGCCCATCATTTTTAATGACTTTATTCAATGGCAAGGTTAAATCTTCAAAGAATATATTCAGTAAATGTTTCCTTTTAAAAAAAGAAAAGACGGGACGACTGGGTGGCTCAGCAGTTGAGCGTCTGCCTTTGGCTCAGAGCATGATCCCAGGGTCCTGGGATCGAGTCCCACATCCGGCTCCCTGCATGGACCCTGCTTCTCCCTCTGCCTGTGTCTCTGCCTCTCTGTGTGTTTCTCATGAATAAATAAATAAAATCTTTAAAAAAAATAAAATAAAAAAAGAAAAGACTGTTAAAGCAGGTATAATGAAGTTTTAGTTGCAATGGAAAATGGGAGTATTATCCCTTTTATCCTTAATTGGTCCAGCTGTGAAAACAAGTACCTGCTTTGCAAACTACATTTTCTCAAGGCTAAAAACAAAAATACTAAAATGAATGTAAATCAGATGGTGTAAATTACATGCCCCAGACAAGAAGATGAGTGACAAATTATAAAGTATGGTTCTAATTCCTCTTCACCACATAATATATGCCAGTTTTATTTCTATATCTAATTCCTTCTGGAACCTAAAGAGCAATCCTTCCCTTTCTTCTATAAGAAAATACGTGTGGAGAAACCAGACACTTAATTTGTTTGATTATCCTTCTAGATGTTCACTACTGAAAGCACTTCCATACAACAGTAACAGTGGGGGAGAGTTTAGCAGATGGGGGAAACAGTGTGACCAGAGGCAAGGAGAAGGTAACAAATAAAAACACAGAGAATGTTAAGGACATCAACTTGGCTGAGACTGAGAGATTGTGAAGTGAAACAAAATAGGTATAATAGGGCTTATTGAGAAAGAGTTTGATTGCTTTGCTTAAATGCTATATAGTTAATGTGAGAGGTTGATGTTCTTTTGGTTTTTTTTTTCCCCCATGAAGGAAACCTCAGTGTATACAACTTTTAAATTCATGATTTTGAAATTAAAGTATTAAAATTTTGGAGATCATACAGTTTCAAAAACTGAACAGGTGTTTGGTGAAGCAAGTGAATATTTGACCTGTAGGGTGCTGAGACCTCTCTTTGGAGCGAGAAATGGAAGTCTTCCCTAGGAAGCCCCAAGCCCTGTGGGTCAGTGCTCATGCCTCCCTGACGTCACATCTCAGCACAGAAACCCTCAGTGACCATCTTGACATTTTCCAGCCTACTTTCCTGATCTCTATTCCCTTATCCTTCTTCGCAGTATTCCCACCATTCCTTGAACACACATCTCAGCTCTTGCCATCTCATGTCCTAATAATCCTGCTTCTGTCTAGGGGCGCCCTGCTCCTATTTGTCCATTAGTTTCACCTTTCAAGTCCTCTCAGCCTTTACCAGGCATATTCCTTCCTCTTAAAGATTGTTTTTTTTTGTAACCATTTGCTTGCCTCCCCTCTGCCCCCATTTATATTTTGCATGCTGTCTTGTATCACTCTTTCTTTCTTTGTCTGTGCGTGCCTTTCCCTTCTTCTACCAGGCTTCTTGATAACAGGAGTTGTGTCTTATACTTCTTTGTGCCTTCCTTAGCACCTACTGCTAGTGCCAATTTTATTTTTATATAATTATCTCCTTCCCCCATATAAAAGTAGTATTTATATAAGGGCATAGATTAGTGTTTCCAAATGTTCCTTTCGTAAATACGTAAAACATAACATTAGTATAACATAGTCAAATAAATATGTCCATTGGGGGTTTCTCTTTTTTTTAAGGTTTTATTTAAATCCCAGTTAGTTAACACAGTGTACTATTAGTTTCAGGTGTACAATGGAGTGATTAAACACTTCCATACAACACCCAGTGCTCATCACAAGTGCCCTCCTTAATCCCCATCACCTATTTCACCCACCCACCCCCACCCCTCTGGTAACCACAGTGTGGGTTTCTTAATCTTAGACCTTCCAATGTTTTTTCCAGGTGGGCACACCACTGAGATCCTGCGGCTGCTTGAGAAGCTATCCAATGCTTACTCTCCTAGACATTATATCATTGCTGATACTGATGAAATGAGTGCCCATAAAATAAATTCTTTTGAACTAAACCGAGCTGATAGAGACCCCAATACCATGGTAAGTGATCATTTCTATTTCTAAGAAAGTTAAAAGTTGAATATTGGGTTGAATTTATCTCTGGAAATAATCTTGTGGCACCACAGTTCCCTGCCCACCCAGTGCAGTCAAGTGTTTATTGCTGATGAAATACATTTCCTCTGCTACTAAAAGATAAGAATTTCTTTAAAATACATCTTCAAGGGGTGCCTGGGTGGCTCTTTTGGTTAAGCCTTCAGCTCAGGTCATGATCCCAGGGTCCTGGGATTAAGCCCCATGTCGGGCTCTCTGTTCAGTGGGGAGCCTGCTTCTCTCCCTCTCCCTCTGCAGCTCCCCTTGATTGTGCTTGCTCTCTCGCTCCCTCTCTGTCAAATAAATAAATAAAGTCTTTAAAAAAAAGAAAATACATCTTTAAGTGATAGCTTAATCTCTTATATTCTTTTAAATAGAGGAAATTGTTCTTTCAGTTAATTCCCACTGGGAAAATTTTAACTTACATAAAGCATATAGTGCATCTGCTTTCTGGCTCTTCACTAAAGTTCTTCATCAATATATTACATTTCTTTTTTTTTTTAAAGATTTTATTTATTCATGAGAGACAGAGAGAGAGAGAGAGAGGCAGAGACACAGGCAGAGGGAGAAGCAGGATCCATGCAGGAAGCCCGATGCAGGACTCTATCCCAGGACCCCAGGTTTAATGTCCTGAGCTAAAGGCAGATGCTCAACCACTGAGCCACCGAGGCATCCCAATATATTGCATTTCTTGATGATGTATCTATGACTGTAGTAGTCATAGATATATCAAATTGTATTTGTATCTGCCTTTAAAATTACTTCTGTTTCTGGTTGCTCACTTCAGTTTAGCATTTTTGTCAGAATTAGGGGTAAAAGAACAAAAGTGAAACTACTTCTTTATGAAGGAAGAAAACTCAAACTGTTCCTTGCATCATTTGTCTCCATCCTTCCCTCCCTTTGGTACCTGCCCAGCAATGACACGGCAACAGGTAGTTCAAGGGTGGAAGGCAGCTCAGGCTACTCGAAGTGTTTCTCTGTGCATTTTGGACTTGGGGACCCAGAAGATGGAGGCAGTCTTTCTTTGGGGGCAAACCCTATAAACTAAAATTTGAGAGCTGCTGGCAGGCATGTTTTCACCTGGTGAGTGAAGATAAACTACAGTTGGAGAAAAGAATGAGGCAAAGAAGAATAAAATGAGCAACCAGGTGGTGAGTTCTGCCCTCAGTAACTCCAGGGGTCCAGTTGCATCTGTGTGGGAAAATGGGGATCCAGCAATTATCACCCATCTCCCCCTGCCCCTCATTTCTGCTCTCACCTCCTCACCCCATACCACTGCCAGGCTCTTCTAAAGTCTCTTTCAGGGATCCCTGGGTGGTGCAGCGGTTTAGTGCCTGCCTTTGGCCCAGGGCACGATCCTGGAGACCCGGGATCGAATCCCACGTCGGGCTCCCGGTGCATGGAGCCTGCTTCTCCCTCTGCCTATGTCTCTGCCTCTCTCGCTCACTGTGTGCCTATCATAAATAAATAAAAATTAAAAAAATTATTAAAAAAAATAAATAAAGTCTCTTTCAGTCGAGTTTTGGTCATTCATAAACAGGATCCCTAAAGCACTGTTAAAATGTATTCTTGGAAATTCCATGTCAAACAAGAATCTGCCTGCTGTTATTCAGCCATAACAAGGTGCTGTGGTCTGTTTCTTCTATGTGGAGGATGAGCCAAGTGCTTTATTTCTGTTTAGGAATCGATACTGTATCTGTTTCTTATGGCCTCTATAATAAAGTACCACAGATGGGGCAGGCGTGGGGGGGTGGGGGGTTGGCTAGGCCGAGTTCCTGCTGGAGGCCCTCGGGAGAGTTCCTCCTTGCTTCTTCCTAGCCTCTGATGGTTGCCAGCACTCCTTGGCATTCCTTGGCTTGTGGCAGCATCATTGGAATCTCTGCCTCCATGTTCATGGGGCTATTTCTGTGTCTCTGTCTTCACATTCCCTTCTCATCAGGACATCAGCCATTGGATATAGGACCCAGCCCCATTCTGTATGACCTCACCTTAACTTGATTCCATCTACAGGACCTTTTTCCAAATAAGGTCACATTGACAGGTTCCAGATAGACAGGAATTTTGGGGGGACGCTGTTCATCTTTGTGTGCTAGTAATTGATCCTTTTAATAATGTGCGGGACAGGGGCACCTGTGTGGCCCAGTGATTGAGAGTCTGCCTTTGGCCCAGGGCGTAATACCAGGGTCCTGGGATCGAGTCCCACATCAGGCTCCTTGCAGGAATCCTGCTTCTCCTTCTGCCGGTGACTCTGCCTCTCTCTGTGTCTCTCATAAATAAATAAATTAAAAAAATAAGAATAATGTGTGAGACAGATAATACTATTCTTATTTTATGAATGAGAAAATTGAGACCCAGAGGTATAAGATTCTGCCTAATATGTGACACTTACCTAAATGTGTCTTCTCTAAAACTTTTTCTGTATAGACCACTCTGCTTTTTTTGTGTATTCTTTTCCAATCCAAAAAACTAAGTGAGAAAAGAATGCTTTGGGGATTATTTACAGCATCAGAGTCTAAAAATGTCATTGAATCACTTATCTTAGAGAGTGTATCAGAAATGATGGAGAATTGTAGAATACAATGATGATTTTTTTACACAAGTGGAATATAGTATTATAATTTAGCACTGATAAAGACTAGTTAAAATATAAAAGTCAAGTAATTACAGAATTGTTATTGTTCTCAACATAAGGAACAGGTATTTTTCTAGCTAATTATTAGCATATATATTATTATCTTCTTTTTGGAGTTGGATCCAATCAGGCTCCAATTTTAATTTAGCATACATATTGAGTATTTCCCTCCTGGTCCATCAGCATATGTATTACTTGCTGAATTTCATGCTCTAATGAAACATTTGGAAGATTGCTTTATACAGGAAGTGTTTGAGGGTTTTTTTTTTGAGCGGGGGGGGGGGGGGGGGGTGGTTGGGAGGAGTGGGGGAGGGGAGCAGAGGAAGAAAGAGGCTGAGCATGGAGCCTGACACAGGGCTCAATCTCACAACTCTGAGATCATGACCTGACTGAGCCAAAATCAAGAGTTGAACACTTACCTGACTGAGCCACCCAGGCACCACTATAGAAATATTGTTACAGACGCTTTAGAGCCCTGTAAGTTGGGTATCTTTCACTTTATTTTATTTTTTAATTGAAGTCTAGCTGACACACACTGTTACAGTAGTTTCAGGTGTACAACATAGTGATATGACAACTCTATGTATTATGCTATGCTCACCACAAGTGTAGCTCCCATCTGACACCATACAGCACTATTACAGTACCACTGACTGTATTCCCTATGCTGTAACTTTTTATTCCTGTGGCTTACACATTCCATAACTGGAAGCCTGTACTTCCCACTCCCCTTCATCCATTTTGCCCATTCCTTCACCCTCTCTCCTCTGGCAGCCACCAGTTTATTCCATTCTAATGGGCCTGATTCTACTTTATTTGTTTCTTTTGCTTTTTAGATTCCATTATAAGTGAAATCATATGGTCTTTGTCTTTCTCTGTCTGACATATTTTACCTAACATAATACCGTCTAGATCCATACGAGGTTTGGGTCACGTTAATACAAAAGCCAAAGATTTTGAATTTTTAAAGTGCCATTATTTTGTCTCACTATCAAAGTGGTACCACCAGTGTAGGACTAAGCAACTTTGTTGGACTACCTTCTTCCATCAATTCATTCACTGTTGGGACAATGCAACCCTTTTTAGAGAAAAAATAATATCTCATTCCTAAGAGGGTCTCTACTCATGAATTCAAAGCTGGGAAGAGGCGAGCCATTGAGGGTTGTAGCTTAAACATGCCTGTTATCCTTTCTGCTGGCTACACCATATGCCACACGTCGGGGAGAGGCCAAGTGGAGAGACCTTCCTACCAAGCTTTACTCAAAGGAAGAATCCACTTATTTTCTCTTTTTTCACTACAGCTTAGGGGACTTGTGCCTGCAGCCTCCTAGACAGCTATCTATTATACCATCCTTGGAGCTCACAAGACTGGGGAGAAGGAAGGAGTTTTGCTGAAGAAATTAGTAGTAGTCAATATATTTGCTGGCAGAGCCCTTATTAGCCGAGAAGATTGAACAATGTAGATCTACACGGTCTAGTACAGTAGCTACCAGCACTGGCTCAGCACTACTTATTGAATACTTTTTTTCACTGATCTGCAATGCTACCCACTGTTAAATCAAGTTTCTATGTATGTAAAGATCTGTGTGTGAGCTTTCTTCTTTGTTGACTGGTTTGTCTATTCCTACTATCAGCTCCCATAGTCTTACTCTACAGAAGTGTCTTAGCGGTTCTTTCTTTTTCACGTGGGTTTTTTAGTTAGGTTTGACAAATTCACGAAGAAACATGTTAAAATTTTTATTTGAATTGAGTTAATCAATGCATCAATTTGAGGAGAACTTAAATCTATATGTTGATATCTTTCTATCCAGGGACATCATCTATCTCTGCATTATTTAGGTTTCCTTTAATACTTTTCAATAAAATTTCTAATTTTCTTCATAAAAGACTTGCATATTTTTTATTCTTATATACTTTGCATATTATTTATTCTTATGTACCTTATTTTATTATCGTTGTCAGTGATTCACCTTTTAATGTGATTTACAGTGTTGCAGTGTATAAAAATATATTTGATTTGAGTATAGTGATCTTTTAAGAACCACCTTGCTGCACTCTAATTAATTTCAGTAATTTGGACACTTTTGTGTTATCATCTACGAAGATATCATCTGCAAATACTAACAATTAGTGATTCTTTCTAATCTTTATACTTTTTATTTCTTTTTCTCATTTTGTTGTTAGACTTCCATAATAGTAACTAATATAAGCAGTGTAGTGATCATCCTTACAGTCTTTCTGATTTTATTTTATTTTTAAAGATTTTATTTATTTATTCATGAGAGACAGAGAGAGAGAGAGAGAGAGAGAGAGAGAG